CACACAGAATATTCCAAGTGCTGCACCAAACCCACCGTGAAGTGTCACTAAAGGAACAGTACATCTCTTCTTGTCCATTAAACTTCTGAACACTGCTTTTACAGTATCTAAAATTACCTACAGGTTTCTGCAGTGTCACATGAATTTCTGCAGTGATCTTTTCTGCCCCGCTGAGCTGGGCTCCTCAAGCCCTGGAATATCCTTTTCTCTGGCTGTAATGAGATTTCTGTTCCAAACAGAGATTAAGGCCAACGTGCTTTCAGAAATGCGAGTCTTCAAATTCAGAAATTCTCCTTTTTGGGTTTGCAGCTTCCAAAATGCTTTCCCTTGTCTTCCTGGCTGTGCATTCTTCACATTATTGTGTGACGTGCATGAAATATTCGCTGCCACAGTAAGACTCAAGCTTACATACTCTGTTAGCCTTATTGCTGAAACCACCACAAAGGATTCCTCTAACTGAAATCTACCTCCTTCTCCTTTCAAAAGGAGCCTCTTATTTGCTCATACTTCATTTTAAAAGGACACTGATACAGATAATGGCTCAACTGCTTGTCTGTAGCAGATGTCCTTAAAGATTTGAGCATGATGTTATTACAACTTAATGCAAAATGAAACACATACTGGCTAAGTTATCTACTCTGTAAAATAGATTTTCAGAAGTCGACAAGTCTTACCTCGAGCAGTAAGTCCTCCAGACACTGAGGTAAGGACATGAGGCTCTAAGCTGGTAATGAAATCCATATGATCTTGGGTCAGACATTCCAAAAGTGGGTAATAAGACTGGCTTAGCTTTCGATATTGCTGGAAATGAAAGAAGTTAGTAATATGTTAGTAATAAATATGGACATCTGCATTAACTGATATTAATGACGTTAGCAGATCACAGAAGACCACATTTTTATGATGTGTTAAATTGTAATGTATTTGTAATTTGTAATTGTAATTGTGATGTCTCAATGTGAATCAATCCAAGTAATCGAACTGAAAAATGCACATGAGCTGTTCTAGACCCTTCTGTCTCATCATAACAACATAAAGCCTGTGGTGGTGTTATTCCATGTTTCAAGAGAAGACTCCCAAGATGAGCAATTGCTTACTAGCAAGTCACTGTCTGTGTCAGCAAACAAGCAGCCATCCCCAGCCACACAGCGGGGTTCCATCCATCACCAGCCTTCCAGTGTACAAAGGCACGCAGGATTCCTGCTTATGCAGTTCCCACACCTGATCCTATGCAGCCATCTCCTGCCCCTTGCAGTGCTGCCACAACCTGCCGGCTGCTGGCCCTCACTGACATCTAGCGTTCCTGTGTGAGCTCCACGGGCAGCAGAAGCACTTTACCAGTGTTTATTCTATCTGACCTCACGGAGTGCTCAGACTCTGCTATCCAAAAGCCTGGCATCTACTCATTTGCTGCTGAAAACACAGCATTAATTGTTCAAGCTGTAAGTTACAATGAAACCAAACCCACACTGGCAGCACATGACTCATTAATTCTAAGAAGGGCAGTCGTGGCCCCTGGGACATCTCTGCTTAGAGGACCTAGCAGCAGGCACTGTGCTGCAACGAGACTTAAAACCATCATTTTTCACAGAGCAATTTGTTAAATGGGGTTAAATCAGGCTATCCCAAAATGCTCCCAGCCGCATCCCACTCTGCTACAGGGACAAGACTCACTTTCTTCAGCACAGTTTCTCTGGGTGTTTCCATCTCAGATGCATTTTCTGACCCAAAATGGAAGAGATCCACATGGTCAGTAACTTCGGCTCCTGCAGAGATCTTGATGCCAGGTCTTTCCTCCTCCACCTCTGCTGGGCCTGCACAAACGAGCAGAGATCACAGAATTAATCTCATAGCCTGAAGGCTTTGAATTCTAAAGTAACCATGAGCATATGCTGAGCTGCATCACACCGCTCATTCTCACTCTGTCACATCCAGGAGGATCCCAGAGATGCAGCACTCACAGTGCTAACGGGCAGCACGCAGCCACTTCAGCAGATCCGGCACTAAAAACTGCATCAAAAACAAATGCATGCAGCTGTGTGCAAACCATGCAGCCGCTGGTGTGACCTGGTGCTGTGAGAGGTGCCAACCAGGAGCTTCAACAGCCGTCCATCGCCGGGCAGCAGCTGGGCCTCTGTCCATGGAAGTGCCATCGTCCTGCATAGGCAGCAGTGCTGGCTGCTGCTGGCTGCTCCCTCGCCGCATGCTGAGAGCTGCCCTGGCAGTGCTGCAGCGAGACTGAGGCTGCGTTTCACACACAGACACCTTTATTTTCACATTTCTGCAAGTATGCAAAACAATGTTCCTTGTCTGGGGATGTGCTGGGGGATGTATTATACCCTGTGTGATGAAGCTGACCAAATTTTCATATGTGTATCTCTATACGTACATGTATAAATCTAGTAAAACTTATTCTGTAATTCTCTGTGTGTCAGAATGGATGCTTTCAACAAACCAGAGATAAAGGGACATGGAGAGGCTTATTTTTCATATCTCTGCAAGTAGTGCTAGCATGTTCTTCAGTGTAATTTCTGTTACCTAGAGGTACTTAAGCAAAAATACCCAAGAGAAAAAAGATATCTATAAATTTTCAGCTTCTACTGTTCCAAGACAGTACCAGTGAATCAAGTTGAGTATTTCCAAACTCTTATTCACACCAGGGACAAACAGAGGTGTATGTGACCACACCAAACAGACGAGCATCCCCAGATCAGCAATGGAAAGAAATCATTACCATGTAAACGTAGCTTCAGCAGTCTAGCAGCCCCTGTGCAGATCGATGCGTGGTTCTATCAGTCTCCTGGCTGTACATCATTAACCTGACAGCGTCCCGTGAGAGGAAAATGCATACTGGGCATACAGGAGGACACCCCCCTACAGACACGTAGTTTTTATTATTAAAACCCAAATCTTCAAAACCATTCAACAAAACGTCATACAAACTGCCACCGGATAACAGCATTTTTAACAGGAGCGACGCACCGCCGCTCCACCCGCATGGCTTTAGTTTGCACCACCGACACCAGCAGCACTTTCCCACAAGTCCTTCACGGCGCTCCCACGAGCAACGAGCTGACATGAAGATGCCCTGCTCTTACCGTGCTGCAGCCTGGCATTGCCAAAGTCCTGCCTGCGGCGCTGGAACCTTTGTATATCCGCACCTTCAGGTTTGCAACTCAACATACAGTTACTCACAGTATTGCAATGCATTCAAAAATACAGGAAAATGTACATCAACGACAACAGATGAATTACATTGCTTGCTTTTTTTTTTTTTTTTTGCATCATCATTCATCATATTCCTATTTTTCAACAGATGGTTGCCTAAAGCGCATGTTAGAAAGGCTTTTATTAGAAAACGCTAGCATGAAAATGCAGATTAATGCTTGTAAGTAGTGAAACAGTCAGACTTACAATGCAGATGTTATTGAAACATTCACAGCTTCAAGAAAATGTGCACAGCTGATAGCACTGACAGAGTCTAACTGTAACTTAGCAGGCAGCGCAGCAGCTTCCTTCACATCCTGGCAAGAGGATCGATGGCGAGATGAGATCAGAACAGCATACTATGTTTTATTTGGAAAGCCGTAGCAGTAAGTATTTGCCATCAATATTGCAAGCCTCATTTATGAGCGATGAGAGGCTTTGCAAGCTTACAAACTAACGTTCACCAAGAACATAAAAGGCAAACCCAAAGACATTTCCATGCAGAGGATGACTCTCTCACAGTCACTACAGCTCTGTCACCTGCCACGTGCATGGATGCTGCTCACGGAAAACCCCGAGGCCCTTGGGCACTGATGCACACAAGCCTCCGGCTGCTAGCAGTGGGATCGTGGACAAACACAGGATAATAAATGGTTTCACAAAGGCAACTGCTCTGTCACCAGAGCCAGAATACATGACCAGAGCTACAGGAAATGCTGCTGTTGTGCGTCACGTGGCAAATCCTCCTATTGTAGCAACAGACTTACAATCAGAGAAGAGTTTGAGTTGGAAGGAACCCTTAAAGGCCACCTGGTCCAACTCCCTGCACTGAACAGGGACACCTCCACTAAATCAGGTGCTCAGAGCCCCGTCCAGCCTGACCTTGAGTGCCTGCAGACATGGTGCATCCACCACATCTCTGGGCACCCTGTGCCACTGCCTCATTGCCCTCACTGTAAAAAACCTCTTCCTCATATCCAACCTAAATCTCCCCTCTTTTAGTTTACAGCCATGCTCTACCTTACATTCCCGGGTCTGCACTGATAGCAGAGCTTGCTGTGACCCAAGTGCCAAACCTTGCACTTGGATTTATTGAACCCCATGAGTTTCTCCTGGCCTGGCTGGGTCTCTGGATGGCACCTTAAGGGGAACATAGAAGCAGCAATCCAGGAGCAAATGGCAGGCATGAGGCACCGGCAATGGCAGCTGGGCTCTGGTTATGGCTTAGGAGTCAGGACCAGAGCAGCTTTCAGCATCTCCCTCTCTTCCTAACACAAGGCCATCATTACTGGGAACTGATAAAAACTACAGCAGTGCAGAAGAGGAGAAACAAAAAGTGTAAGGGCACTAATAGTAATCTGGCTTCAGCAATGCACTTAAAGATACATTGAGAGTAACATGCAGATATTTCAGGTATGTTGCTCAGTCAGGCTGTACTTGACCCAGAGCAGTTCTGGTCCCTGGGACACAACACTTCTCCTAGCGGAGACTGAAAACACAGCTGAGGCCAAATTCAGGGTGGCTCCAGAAATTAATTTAGCTCCAGGGTCTACAAGGATCACACATCTATTAATACTTCTGGTCTACTGAAAAAGGCACATTCCAATTCTGAGAAATATTCAGGCCACATATGCCATCTTGCGAGTACATTTGGAGCATCACTGTTAGAGGTTAAAGACACTGAAGAACTCAGTACAAATGGTTGCTTTCCCTTTTTTGGTCCAGTGACATTACCTGCTCAGACTGACAACAGACACATGCCTGTAGGGATGGAGGAGAACAAAGCAGGTTGCTTGTTACACTGAAGGCTGTTATTTGCCCAAGTGATTACAAGAAGAATCACAAGAAGGAACAACATAAATATTGGGCATTATTCCAGCTACAGCTGATGTCTTTACCAAGTGCCTATTAAACAAAAAACAAATAGACAAAACTGGACAGCTGGACGACAAGGCTACTCTCACAGCACTGCATCCCTTCTGTGAATCCCAGCACATCACTGGAGCTGCTTTGCTCTGCATACTTGCTAGAAGGAATTAATTCATGGTAATTGCGTGCAAGGCAGCGAACAGGACAGATTGAGATGTCATTCCTGCATACAAGTAACTTCCCTCAGCTGACCAGCTGTTTTGATGACAAGTAAACTTGGGGGAACAAAGCAAAGACCACACAGAAGAGTATGCAGAAGCACAGAAAAAAAGAACACTTCCCATCTTGAGGAATACACATAGCATTACTCCAGTACTGATCAGACCTACCTCTATAACCAGGAATATTTCAACAGATTAATTTTTTTTTATAAAACATAGGGCTACAGAAATTAGGCATACTATATATTTAGTCTTATAAAAAGCTTCCACATACGTAATATTTAAAATATATCTTCAGTGCCAACAGTATATTAGCAATATAGTATCTGACATAATAAAAATATATGCTTACTGGACAGGGACGATGTTGGGTGCGACAGGGGATTCCCCTTTTTGTGTGGTTTGTGCAGCTGGTACAGGTGGCTGCTCCCTCCTTCCCTTGGTTTCCCAACCATCAGCTGCTTGGGAACAGCCATTTTCCTTAAGACTCCTCTGCAAAGCAGGCTGACCTGTTCCTCAGCAGACACATCTACTGGGCATAATCCAACCTTGGTATAAATTCGCTACATGACTCTTCCTGTTTCCCTCTTGGAAGAAAGAAACCAACAATTCCCCCCAACAAAGCTCTTCGGGGCATTGGTAAGGATCAGGACTTGTACGAGTCATGCAACTGTCTTGTGGGATAAAGATTTTACTACAGAAAATGTGGAACTACCCCGGCAGACATTTCTGATACTAACAGCAACCATGCAGGCGCCAATTAAACTTATTTGGCACTCTGTGGGTGCCAAGGCCCTTACGTGGGAACACAGCTGCACCACCTGGCCCTTTTCTGGAAAGCTTAAATAACTCCACAGAGTAGAAGTCACTTTGTTTTAACATCTAATGGAGGAATACAGATGTTCAAGTGACGCATCTAAGAAGCAGGTGCCAAACCACAGCGGAAGGACCATCGCACGGCCACGGTGCTGCTGAGGTGCACAGTGGAGAATCGCTCGGTGTCCCACAGCGCACCGGGACTGCAGAAGGTGGCTGGGACCAGAGCAGGTGTGCATCTTCCCCTAGCTGCCCTTATAAACCTACCTGGTCCTGCAACAACTTACCATCATTGATCAGATTTGCTCTGCACTTCAAAATTTACGTGCTACTCACGCTTTGCTCCTTTCTGACTAACCCTGGCATCGAGTTCCTCTGGTTGATGTGCTTAGGAATACCTCCACCAGCCTCAGCGTGGTGGCACCAGTGCAGTGAGAAGCAAGATCTCTGCAGAAATGGGGATGCTGGCTACACGGGCTGTCTGCTTAACGTCCTAGGTACATTCACTGTTCATTTTTACAGATGGCCCTTGTAGATTCTTTTTTTTTTTTTCTGTAAAAGCAGATTAAAGGCAAGGCATCCATAAAACATTTTGCCATATGGTTGTATGGACTGAGCTTTTTGCTTGTAATAGGTGGCTGAATATGCTATCAACATGAGCTATCATACGCAATCAAGCTTGCTAGATTAAAGCAGGACTTGTGGCTTGCAAACAGAACGCTGTGTATTACTCATCGAGCTTCAAGCAGCAGCTCTCTCGTCAGGTTTTATTAAAGTATTTGCATGCTTCCAAAATGAAATAGAGGTCCACCGTCGTCTCTTGCAGAGGAGAGATGGGATCAGTTGCATTCAGTTGCCGTTTGGTTGGACACGTCATACAAAACCCTCACACGCTGGCTGAATTGAACATGGCTGAATTATAAAAAGCTTTCACCCAGAAAGGAGGTCTTTGTTACACACACAGTCTCTGACTCTTCCAGAGCTTTCCAGGCATGGTTACATTACGTTCTCAAAGAGCTGCAAGGACCGCATGATATTGTCATCCTGAAAGCAACGAGAAGACACGTTCATGAAAGGAGCACTGATGAACACAACTCCTAACCTGGCACGGCACAGCAGGGGCTCTGCGGGGACTACTGCAGGCAACAGCCTTGCTTTCCACCCTCGGTGAGCTTGAATGGATTCAACAGTTAGATCCTGATTTGGAAAAGCAGCGCTTTTACTTCAGCATCTTGACTGGTTTGAGGCATGCAGAGGACTTTCTCCTAAGCTTGGCTTCCAGCATGGCCTGTGCTTCACAGAAGAAAAGCTCAACCAACATTGAAGCTGTGCCCTCAGACATCGGCACCCACTGCACTGATCCTGAATATGAAGGTGTGTATTTAGCTTCATCTGCCTCAGAAGCATAAATGAAATGACAGCTTTGAACGGACAAGCATGCTGCCATGAAGGACCAGTTCCTCACAGGAACACCTGGGGCTCAAAACAAGAATACATGAAATACCAGCCTCTCTCAGGTCCCTGGATCCAAATGAGAGAGTTGGAGACACATAAGGGAAATACCAGATTGTTTCTGGTAGCAGCATCCACCTCACTCATCCTAACACAGTTTGGTGATGCCCTGTGTGGGGAACCAATCCTCCTGTGCACAGCCATGCCATGACTTCACTGCCCGAAAGCTGCAGCCTCAGATATGGCAGAGGTAAGCACATTTGTTTGTTTCCTTAAAGTAAAAAACACCACCTTTGTGTGGCATGGCTCTGGTGTGCCAGGAGATAACACACGGCAGTGCATGGGTCTGTGAGCTGCAAGCCCAAGCACATCAACAGTAAGGAACCAAATACCCTGCCCTGGTTCTGGTTTAACAAAACCCTACTGTTGAAGCTGCTTTGATACTAAGATCTCTAATCACACACTGAAGACACAGCGTCAGCCTCTTAAATATACAACTAAGTAAATAAAATCCTGAGGAAGGTAAAGGGCATTATGAGCTTTCTCATAATTGTGTACTTGTCACAGAATCAGCAGCACTGACCAGCCTGACCCCACAGCCCTGATGGCTCAGCAGCATCACAGAGCACCACCAATCTTACAGCTGCTTGTTTTTTTAGAGAGCAAAGGAACCCCGGGATGGAGTGGCACCTCCTTGCAAATGAAGTTTGGTGGAAGTGAAAACAAAGACGGTGGCATGATCTGTACCTTTTGTTGCACCTGGCATTTCATCCTTACCTCCTGACACGATTCGATAAACTCATCTAAAGTTACAACACCATCTTTGTTTTTATCCATTTTCTGCAAAATAAAAACAAACATTTAGTTCCCATAGATAACACTGTGGTAACAGTATAACATCCTATGTGCTGTAACTTGAATAAATCTAAGGCACGTGACCAGCCAACATTACAGACTCGGTGCCACTGGTTCAATTTGCTGGCAGCTAAGAACTGGTTCACTCTGGTATGCGGAGGACTTTCGAGGTCATCTCCACCTGAACCTTTGTTATACACATGCAACAACCTCTGCTCATATTACATCATTTATTTCTTCACTGCCTCACCATATGATTGCTGTCTGTCTTTATGAGCAGTTGAGAAGAGAAGCACCAAATGACAGTGATACATACAGAAGCTCTACATTCACTGGATGGACATCCTCCCGTTGCAAAGGGTTGGGCTAAGTCAAATAGGATACCTCAGACTCAAGAAGTCAGCAGGCACTGCAGCATTAGGTTGGATGGCTACTAGAATTTGTTTTAGGATGTACAGTAGGAAACAGTTGTGTAGCTGGGATTAATCTTGAAGTGTATCAGTGAAGAGCTCAGGTGTTGAGAAATCATCAGAATTGAAGTACCTGGAAGAACACTTCTACGTGCTGCCTTGGAGCATCTTCCTTCAGCACAGGATACGTGTACTTTCCCATCATATCATAAATTGCCTTTACTATATCCATCATCTCCTGCAGTAGTGACATGACAACAAAAGCACAACAGGGAAATTAATAGAAATGATAGCACATTTATGTCTTTTACTGCCCTTTTCTTCACCCTCTCCTGTTAACAAAACAGCACAGACCTCGTGCCCATATCTACTGTCCCCCCAAGAACACATGCATGCAGACAGATGCATCATCAGATATGTGCTAACCTACAAATCTGGGGGGCTTGTAGTGCTCTGGGTGAGCCCACATCACACCTCCCAGTGCAGCCAGAAGCCCCTAATACACCTTGGTCACTGAGTACCTGCTGTCATCATCCCCTCCCCTCCTCTTCACAGCTTTGCACTGCTCATAGATTAAACCAGGGTTTTTCTCCAGGTAAGAGCTAACCATGAAAGCCAGTGTAACATAGGAAAACACATCTACAAAATAATACAGTGTGAGATCACTTTGCACTTTCTTAGACAGAAAAACACTCAGGTCCAGTTTTATATGCTTGATGAGCTGTATGCAATGTTAACTGTGCTATGCAACAGAAACAAGTCAGCTCTCATAGAAATCAACTACATTTGTCAGAAACAGCCCTACCTCCTTGTTTATATAGCCATCCTTATTTATGTCATAAAGGTTAAATGTCCATCTGAGCTTCTCATGAACTGTTCCCCGCAACAGAATTGACAACGCCATCACAAAATCCTGTTTGAGGCAGAGAGAGAAATGAGAATCTGTGCAACATCCCTTTCCAAGTCACGCTCCTCATTGCACCCCCCAGAGAAGTTACCCACATAGGATGAATGTATCCTCTGACTGAGCTCCACGGACACAGCGCCCGCTAAGATGGTCTGAGCAGCGCTAATAAACGTGTAAGAGGGAACTGGGAAAACCCCAAGAGTCCTCAAGTACTGAACTGTGCATCCTCCCTGCGCCCACCCTGAGAGGGCCGGCAAAACTCCAGACCTCTCTGCCACGCAGGGAAGCTCAGGTTTTGTCCCCTGGCAAAATACAACACGTTTAGCCAAGTGTGGTTCCCACCTCTACTAACTCAATCTGGGACACGGTATTTTGTTTGCATTTTTGATTTGGAGTGGAGTTATTGCTTGCAATAACTTTGATTTATTGTTTGCGCTGTGCAGTGGCTCAGCAGCACTGCTGTATTTGTCAGTACAGGCAGAGCTTTGAGCTAAAGCAGCTATACTCTACCTGGTGTCTCATTTAACACACTTAATCCTCCCTGTATCATCTCCAGTGGCTCTGCACGGGGCAGAGCACTGCTTCCTAAAGACCTTTGTTCCTTTTTACCCACACTCAAGAGAAATTAAAGCTTGCTGAACAATACAAAAAAGGGGACAAAATGCTTACATGTGATAACCACCAAAAAGACAGATTTGCCCGGAAGGAAAGCTCAGCGTTTTTCAAATATACTTGTCTAAGCATTTTGCTGTGGGTCAGTCCGTTTAGGACTCTGGAAGTCTCTTAATGCTCTCCAGAAGGGCTGATACAGGCAGAACTCCCACTGCAGCCATCACTACAGAGATGCACTTCCATATGGCAACCTTCCCACAGCTGATAAATAATCTCTCTGTCACACCTGGAACTAATGGGGATTTGGCCACTTCGATGGCATAAAGTGGGGCTGCCTAGCGTTTCCACCACTTTCTGTTTGCAGACGCAGGCTGCAGCTATGGGGTGGATTTGGTATTCCTCAGGAACTGACTATGTGAGATCCTTGTTGAACATCTCAAATCAGCTTTGAAAATGCATACATTCCAGGAACGTACACGTGAAACCCTGCAACGCATGCGAGCTGCAGGAAGCGTGAGCTTCTCTGGCCTTTCTTTGACAACCACATTATCTGTGCCACTCGCTGGTCTCTGCTCCATGGGACTGTCACTGCCCTGTGCTTTCTGTTACACAAACCATCTGCACTTTCTCCCTGTGGCACTAACACTCCTATGCTGCTGACTAACACGATCTGTTTGTTTCTCCAGCGGGAAGAAAGCCAATCCATCTGCACAAGAAGCCTGCATTAAACAGAATGAGATTTTGACGTTTCATCTGGTTGTAGCCCTCCAGCCCATAGCCCAGCAAATCCCATAGTTTACGATGAAAAATGGATGGGAAGCTGAAACACACAGAACTGAGAAATAGGGCATTAAAACAGGATGCAAACCAGTTACCTCAAACTTCACTGAGCCATTCTGTGCAGTGTCAAACGCGTTAAAGAGATAATGTGCATACATGCTAGCATCTGGAAAACACAAAAGGCACCAATTGGTACAACAGCTCCTTACATACCACTGGTTCTCAGCAAACTCTTTCAGTATAAAGCCATCCTTAAAGCACTGCCACTCTGTGAGCTAGTAAATATTAACATGGACTTGGAGTAACCACAACCCAACCCCACTGAATGCAAAAGCTTGTACTGCACAGGACATGATCTGGATTGCGGGGCTGTGCTTGTAAGAACGAGAGCAAAAAGCAGCACATAAGCGTATCTCTGGGGCCAGTGCAGTACTAGCTCCAGCAGCAAGTGCAACAACTCCATCGCATAGCAGCACACTGCTCTGTGGCTGACAACTACTGGCAATCTTTAATGTGGGTTTGCCTTTATTCTCATTAAATAGCTTTTCAAAGGGCCTACATCAGTGTTCTTACCTTGGTTGTGTTTTTGTGTAAGACCCTGCAGCCCTTACCTCACTTTCCTAGCACAGAGCATCCAAGAGCTCTGCAGCCAGATGACATCTTGCATTAAGTCACACTTCAACGAACCTGACAAAGCATCCTGCTTACCTCCATGAGGAAAAAACTGTGCATAGATCTGTTTGAACGTCTCTTCATTAACCACCCCGCTAGGACATTCCTGTCGGAAAAAAGAAACAAAACCAAATCAAAACACACACCCCAGCTCTGTTAAGGTTCATTTGCAAAACTGTACAAGCCCAAAGAGAGCAATGATACAAATTGCATCCCTGTTCCCATAGCATTCTGGATGTATGGGCTGTGCAGTTGAAGAAATTAAAGTTAATTCAGGCTGCAATTCCATCTTAAGCATCTCACAGACTTGGTTCACAGCAGTGTTTAATTCCTGTTTTAACAGATGACTGGACAGCCAGCTCGTGCCTTCTGTCACACGAAGGCCTCCTCTAATACATTACAAATCACTGCCAGCAATCGCTTCCCTGTCCTGCCCCTCACACCAGCTCCATGGAGGCTAACGGTACGTACCAGCAAATTCTCAAACATCAGCATTGGTATGAGGCTTGAAACCAGAAGAGCCCTTCAGGACAGCCCAAGTAAAATTCAGGACCAGGTTTAGCTTTGTTATGTGCTTCAATCCAGAGGCTTTATTATAAAGCAAACGCCAAATCTAAACAACCTAACTCCAGCTCTCACAAACCAAGGGAAGTCAGCCACTGCCCATCCCTCTGCATACGCACAAAATAACCTCTCCCGTTTTTATTTACAGACTCAGAACTCCAAAGCCTCATCTTGGTTAAAGGCTCTGTTTGCATGACTTTGTTTAAAAACTCATCCATCCTGTGATAGAGCACGCTTGAGTTCAACCACAGTTATATTTTTACCTAACCAGCGCGGCTGACAGAATCCATTCCTCACAGCTGCTTACAGGTCGTTGAATTTGGGATGAGCAAACTTAGGAAGCCTGAGAAAATCCCTTTGAATCGGTGACACAAAGTCAGAGGAAGATTCAAGCCAGCGACTGACTTACTGATGAGTTGTTTAGGTTGTCTTTTAAGAACAAAAGGACCTTGACGAGAAATTCTGCCATCAAGAAAAGCTTATAAACAGAAAAAGCGTCTGATCTGCAGCATCGCCTGCTGCTGACATTGCATTCCCCAACCACGGGAAGGCAGAATAAAGAAGTCGCTCCATCCTGTGTGAGTCACAGGAGAGCAAGGAGGGGCACTTGGGGCAACACCAGAGGCACCCCCCTAATCACACACAGTCTGTACTCTTTGCTACTGGAATTAATGCAATTAGGTCTGAGTTCCTTCCTTCGGTCCAGTAGATGCCTTCTTCCTGGCCACTGCAATGCTTTAAGACAGTTTATAAATACAGGGACTACGCATTACATTCTCCATACCTTTCCCTTGCCCCAGGCCATCCCAGCAGCCCCAGCCACCATTCATGTTCCTGTGCCCCCAGCCTCAGAGCATCAGCACTGGGCAGGCACAGTGAGAGGAGCTGCACTGCTCTCAAAGAGGTGAGGTCTCTCACAGCAGGTCTGGCCATTGGGCCTGATTACATTTTGAGTTTCCGCACAACCCTGCTTGCTTCTGATGTTCTATCTGGAAGCCAAATGGAAGTTTGCATCAAACCTCCAGGAGCGCAGTGCTGACACTGATCGCCCTGCTTAGCTCTACATAGCAGGGCTGCTTTCAGACACATATGCTTGTAGCAGTTCATTTACACTTAATTGATCACCATTTTGTTTTGTAAGAGTCGAATAAAGCTCAAGAGGCCTCATTAGTGCTACAGCACATCTTAAGGCAGCTGACTCAAAGAAATCCCTCTTGTGGAAAGGAGCAGGTAAGCTCTGTGCCAGCTGAAATTCCACTGAAGGCAGCACAGGTTTCCTCATGCAAGAGAAATTTCCTAGCAGCATGAAAAAGCACCTTCCACTCTAATACACACAAGGCCTTCCTTTGACAGCAGTGGGTTAAATTTCAGGTAAACACCTCATTTTTTTTTTTTAAACCTATGAATTATTTCAAAGTGTCTAACATGAGAAGTGAACACTTGGTTGGTATTGTTCCCAAAATTTAGCTACCAAGCATTGGCATTGACGGCAGCTGTCACGTGTATGGATCGACCTCCTCTGACTTCTTAAACCACAAGGGAGCTGAAAACCACACTTTGAAATAAAAAAAAAAAATCAAAGAAAAATTGCACTTGGGGTTCTTTCTTCTGCTAGAATCAGGAATTACTTTGCTGCCTTTCTTGTGTTCTCTCAGAGCCAGCAGTATATTTATGGCATTATGAAAACACCAGAACTTCCTTATCTCGTTCACACTGCTTGCTTTGGTCTTCAAACCCAGACTTATTTCAGTCATCCCGTCTCACAGAAAACTCATTCACATACTGCATATTTGCTAAAATAGTCATGCTACAGCAAAGCCAGAGTGTTCCCAACAGTTCCTGAGTTATTTGGGGTTGCTGTTCTCTCATTGAGTCTTTGCAGTGTCCCTCGCAGCTAGCAGCTGTTCCCCTAATAGGGCAGAACCTCCTGAAGAAAGCAGAAAATCCCATGAAGATCCCAATCCTCTTAAATTCATGCACTCAATCCAAAGAATACAAGTAATGAGAAAGTCCAAAAAGGACTTGTTGAATTACTGAGCCAAAAGCTCTGTTGTTGGCGATCCCTTAAACATCAACAATTTATCAATTTGAATCTTACAAACAATTTCTCATTCCCACCCATTCATTAATGGTTCCCCAAACATCTCACTCACCTGGGGAACAGAAACCTCTAATTGCACCCCATGCCAACACTGCTTTCTAGCTCAAACTATTCTCTCTTCCCATGTATGTATAAACAACCATGTTTTATTTTGTTAAGCTGAACCAAGGTAAGACCCACCAGACTCTACTTCTTGCTGCTTCAGTTATCTTGCTTTTTCCAGAGCTACAGCCAAAGCCCTCAGCCCAAGCATCTCATGTCATGCAGCCAGTCTGGCTGCTGTGCTCTGCTTTGCTGGAGTGGCTGAGTTGCAGTTTGGTGCAAGCCTCCACCAGTCCAGTGTGGAAACGACAGATCTGAGCAGTCACACACCAGGAGGAGCCTGAGCTCACGGCCCATCCCAGCTGCATTCCTGGCTGTTGCCCACCCTCCTCAACAAAATTCTGCCCTCCCCTCCTTCCCCACCACCTTCCCAGGGCAGCTCTCAGCCCAGAGACCCTTATGGGTCAGCCCTGGGTGCATAGTGCATATCAGAATGTATCATTTTCTGTCTCAGGATTTGTTGTCTTAGAGCACTGTGAGTAGCCAGCATTTATTTGTAAGGACAGAAATAAAAGAAGAAAAAGAACAGACTTATAACTATTCAGTTAGCAGCTTTACTGGCTGCAGAAACATAACTGAAGACACAAAAGCCTATCAGCAAGTCTGAAGGATTAGAATCACTTGATTTCCTCTAGAACCTTGGAGCTGCACATATCTTTTCTGCCCCCCAAATCCCGTACTTTCACAGAACTTGCTTTTGCTCAAGCAGCTGGCAGCTTTTGCTGTCACCTGATCAATCCCTTCTGCCAGTCCTGTTGGCCCAGAACCCCCTCAGTTTTTCACAGGGCTCGGGGAAAGCAGAGATGCACCTCCCAGTGCCCCTCACTGCCTGCGCTGTCACCTGCCCAGGTGTGTAGGGAAAGACTTCAGAGACAAAGGAACACTAAGAAAGACAAGCATGGAGAATTAGGACCCCGGTCAGACAGGGCGCTTGCCTGGAAGCAATACCAGGCTGTGCTGAGCTGCCTTTGGCTGCATGTCTGTGAACACGACCACCCAACCAAGTATGAAAACAGCAGGACTGGGAAGGACCTCATTCCTCCTGTGCTATTCCAAGTGCCTGCAGCTGGCCCTGTGGTAACCCAGCTGTTGCCCTGTGATTAAACACGACCTGTGCAATCAGTGAGAGCAAGCAGCACGAGCTGGAGAGAAAAATGACTGTTTTCCCACAGGGCCTTTGAATCTCCAGATGGCACTGTAACATCATCCCGAGAAGCACACGGTTCGGTACAAGGGGAAATATGGTAACAGCTGAGATAGCCTGCCTACTGTGCCTAATTACTCATTCTATTGAAACCATGATTTATAGGCTAGAAATGCTAAAGCTGCCCTTTCAGTTTAAACTTTAAATATTAAAGCTTCATGCACACTGCGTACACAGCAGCTGGAGGAAACACGCTGCTTTCCTAATGACTTGACAAAGCCAGGATCGTGCCAGCACTGCCAATGAACACCAAGACCATCAGTGTGGTCTTACAGAAGGGTCGAACACACAAGTTAAATGCACTTTTATCATTATTCTTTCCCTCAGAGGTAATGCCTCTGTACTGCAAAATGATAGCAAAACTGGAGGGCAGGGGGAGGGGGAAAGGATAAACCCCAAGTCTGCTGAGAGCTGCAAGGCTCACGTGCCTCTGGTTTGCATCAGGGCTGCTGACTCAACCTCTCCCTCTCAGGATGGTGCCCTGCACTGGGCTCCCATACACAGCAAGAAAGGTATGTCAGCAAGATATGAAAATACAGCAGTTAGGAATGCATTGAGTTCTGTTCCCCATTGTAGGGGGTTATATCGCATTATACCATATATTAACCTATTGAGCTTTGTCTTCAAAGCTGTATGTTTTGTACCTGACCAGCCAAAGCACGATGAGGTCTCATAAGGTCCATCTTCAGTGGTCAGACTGAGGTCCTCCCTAAGTCCAGCAAAAGCTGCACAAGCACAATGCATGCAATAAACAAAGGTACAGACAGCTGTGCTGAGCTGGAGAAGTCAGGTATGTGCAGGAGATAGGATGCAACCAAATTTCAAGAACGTCAAAAATAAGAAAGGACCTTCACAACATCCAGCAGGTTTCCCTCAACAAGACTCCCATTTAAGGTGGCTTAATTTTTTTATGGCAAGTCTTCAACCAATGGACTTGACTTTACAAGAAGTTACAGTGTTTTGCTATGACAGTAGCTGAAGTACTGCAACTGTCCAACAGAGCAACTTAAAAACCACATGGCATCTATCAAGCTAGTGCAATAACAACTCATTAATCACCATCAAAGCATTACCTGACACAAAACATCCTTCTGACTCAGACCCTCAGGTAGTCACGTAATGACTCTTCAGCATTCAAGGTCCATAACACATCTGTTCCACATAGCCTCAAAATCCCATTTCTGTTTATTATGAGTCCCTGTGAGGCAGCAGCAGGGGACCTACATGGTGAGGCTCACAGCCCTGTGGAGACCAACCCTACCAGGGAGAATTGGCTCTGGCTGAGGTTCATGAAGACCAGCATGCTGCTGCTGTGTGCATGCAGCTGTGACAGCTGACACATTCCCTTTCACCTAAACTGTGGTCTCCTACCCCTCGCCCTGATACCCATTACCTTCTGAGGTCTCTTGTGCTCCTGCTTTGTTCCCTGCTTACCCTGGACTTTGTAGTCCTAATGTGCTCTAATAACATCCTACTCAAATAGCAAGAATTATCCAAGGTAGGGAAAGGGGGAAAAAAAAAACAAAAATCCCAGGCATCCCAAGCAAACAACACAGCTCAACTGCAGCATGAATCGAGCAAGCAAAAATTAAATTAACATGAAAACATTTGCAGATTATCTTGAAGTATAGGCACAGCTGAGGAATTTGCAGCACCTTTAGTGACATTTAGGGAGTAAATGTAAGGAGTGTGATGTGCTCATGCAATCCCCATTTTAAGCAGATTATGGGGGCATCAATATTAGATGGAAAGGTAGATTGTGAGCTCGTTTTGCTGTGGTAGAGGAGATGCAGAACTGCTGGTAGGTAGCAGGAGAATGATTCAAAACACATCTGAGCAGTTGGGGCTGGTGGAGACACACATACTGGATTCAGTTCACTGCAGTGCTGTTCTTACATTTTTAAATCCTCTGTAAAGCACTTGAAGCTCTCTTTTAGTGAAATTGGTTTGTGCTTCAAGCTGTTCCAGGCCTTCGGGTCTGTGGCACACCGTAGTCATTTCTAATTCATCTTCGATTTTATCTAAAAGAGAAGACAGGAAGATATTCATTTTGGTTGTTAGCTTTGCTCTGTTAAAGCAATGGGTAAGAGATTGGATTTCAAGAGCAATAGAGAAAAAAAGAAGCCATCAACAGAACTGATCTGTATCACTGTTTTCAAATTTTCAAAAGCACAATAAAAGCCAGGTGAGTAAAGCAATAGCTCATACTTCTTACTGGGGCCAATTAGCACCCCATTCACAAAGCCAAAACTGATGGGGAGAACAGGATAGGCAGCAGACACGTTGCTCTAAAAGGCAACGCCAAATACTCTTATCTAAATACTGAAATGGCGTTGAGAGCAGGCCTTTCCAAGTACTGACCTGACAGAAAGCTGAGCAAATACAAGTAAGAGAGCAGTCATGCTTAAGCATATTAGACAACGACATTACACTGAGGGTAAACAGTGAGGGAAACTCTTCTGTATGCTGAGTGAGTGAGGGGCTCGCTGCCCAGACACCAAAGGTCGCTTTCAGCCCAAGGGAAATTCAAATTATGCCCACAGTTACTGAATCTGAATGAATCCAACCTGCTTCTGCACGGCTTTCTAGAAACTGATAAGCAGTGAAAAAATAGTCGTGTATTTTATTCAGGAGATTGCTCTCCAACAAGAAGGAAAAACATTTGAGACGCATCTCATGCTGGATTCTCTTAACCTCACCTCTCCTCTGACTTACCTTTTTACCTGTCAAGCCTGCTTCCCCAACAGCGCAGGTAACACCAAAAAATATTCCAGTGCTTAGTAAGTGTCAATTTGACATTATTTAAACTTCAAAAATCAGTGGCAGCTTTCAGTTGACATAACTCATAGAATAGTTTGAGTTAGGAGGGACCCATAAAAGAGATCCAGTCCAACTCCCTGCAATGAACAAGGACACCTACACTAGAGCAGGTGCTCAGAGCACCATCCACTGGCCTTGAGTCCCACATCCAGCTGCCATCACCTGTACCCCAAATCCTTTTTTTGCATGGCTATACTCTATAATATCCCATTTATACCCAAAGATGGCTTGGCATAAAAGCTAGCAATTCCCCCCAAACCATCTTCAGTAAAATGATCATCAACTGCTCCATTACCACAGACTGCGCGTGCAATGCACAGTATTATTGAAACAGCTAAATTGGTGCCTTGAAAAAATGTGCAAGGTTATGAGATTACCATTGTAATTCTTACTGATAGACAAGGTTTGATACAGAAGTCCCCTCCTCTTTTACAACATCACTTCAGCTTCCCCTTTCAGTATGCAGTCCTACCTGCAGTAGTAACTTAATTCTAGTCAAAGAGGTCAGACAACACAAAGCAGCCTAATTACAAATGAAATATATGAAATTTAAACAGGTGGGCAATGGAATTTGGGCACTGTTGCAATAGTTTATATCAGTGCTATCAATAGTTAAAGACCTTCCCCCATCAGTAAGCAACAAGAAAGTCAACACCAAAGCTGAGAAGTGATAAAAGTTAGTGACTAGACAGCTCTCAAAAGCCAGAGTGGAAATGCAATAGCTGAACAAAGACAACACCAAGGACTCTTTGCATACGTCTATGTTTTAGATACATCAGAGAACAGAATTCTCCCTTACTGACAGGAAGGGAGGCTGGGGTGAGAAGAAGGCAATCTCATGCTCTTCCAGATCACAAGAAGTGCCAATGTATGCATCAAACAGTGAAGGCTGACCTTGTGGGTGTTAAGCACACAACTGAATAGCAGTGTTAAGCAAGCTGCAGTTACCAGCACGTTCAACACAAGTGGGTTTAAGTTGTTCACTGTGGTTTCAAAACTTCCTGTGAAAATCTACAGGTTCAAGTCAGGACAGTGCAGAGTCTAAAAAATGCCTAATAGGATTTATAGAGACCGACTTCAATTAATCTCATAGAATCACAGAATGGCTTGGAAGGGACCCCAAGGATCACCAAAGTTCCAACCCTGCTGCCACAGGCAGGGCCACCAACCTCCAGATCTGATACTAGACCAGGCTGCCCTGAGTTTCATCTGGCTCCATAAGTACATATTTATCTTTTCTTTTGACATGTCTTGACATTTTTTTCATATCTGTACAAATTCATATATGCACACACTTGTACGTGCAGGAAATATGTATTAGCAGAAGTCATAGGGAAACTGAAAGGGAATAAAGGTAAGAGACTTGGTAAGAGCATGGAATAGGATGAGGATATTACAGTCATTCCCAGCACAGAAGAAATGACTGAAATGACAAGTGGCATGGAGAGACCTGAAGGAGGCAGCTTTGGCACACCAAGGGAACAGGAAAACGTGAGGAATGCTAACTGCTGTTAGAAGAAAGGAGATGGAAAAGGATGCCTGCTGGAGGAAAGGAGAAACAGATAATGAGAAATAAGGTGAAGAAGGCTATTTTCTTTGAAACAGATGGCAGGTGATGAAGCAACGTGGAAAAAACTGAAGGGAGAAAGGCTGGAAAGAAATTGCTTATAATGGGGGAAGGGGAATGAACAATAGAAAAAAAGAAGAAAACCATGTAAGAAAAGGAGCCAGGTTATGGGCTCTGATCACTAACCTGTACATTGCAAACCATTTTGTTAACTCAAGGTCACCTAAAACCCTTCACAAAATGCACAGAGGTCCAGAGCCCTTCTATTGTGCTACCCTGCTGTCCCTGATGTGAGTGATGCAAGCGTAAAATACTAACCAGCTAGTTTTTATATCCTATAACTCAGTGAAGAGAAAAAGCTATGTCATCTCACATAAACCATGAGACCAAGGAGGGATGCCAGTCTGAGGGGTTTAACCCTCATATTTGGTTTTATTTGGGCCTTGTCCCAGAGCCACGGAGCCCTGCACATGGAGACCACCCCAACAGAGCTGCCGTTTGTTGTTTCCTTTTAGTGCTTTGTCTTCAGTCAGCTCTTCAAAACCTCTTCCTTCTATTCTCAGGCAATAAATTAAATACACCTCAATGGCAAAAAAAGGAAGTTTTTTCTCCCCTCCTAGAGTTGTCTTTTACCATATAAGCTGTATTTCTTTCTTACATTTTCATTATCGCACTGGCTCAGTCTCTCCCAGCGTATCACTGTGAAATATAAGCCCTCACACTCACAAACACTGCGTTTTTATTTTTTTTTTACTTCAACTGAAACTAACTTTATAGTGACGAGTGCGAGTACAAAAACAGTGATAAAACTAAACCTGCATGTGTTCATCAGCAAAGTATGACACCAGTATTTTACATCGCGTCACACTCCTTGTTTTTGCCCTGCTCAAACCTTGACTAACAGCCTGGGAGATCTGAATGCACAAAACAAGCATGGCATTGGTTTAAATATTCTTCTCCTTCAACTTGCAAGTGCAAGTAAGGCAGAGGGACCAGGTGACAGAAGCAATGTGTACGGTCACCTCTGCAGTGTGAGCAGCAGCGGTTGGGTAAGCCATTGCTTCCAGCATCTCTGCAGAGCTTCTCCTAAGAACTTGCTGAAACCTGGGAGTAATTCCTGCACTGCTTGGCAGGTACAGAACTGCTCACACATTTGCCCAGATTGTTTTGCCTACAATTTAGTTAGAGATAGACAAGAGGAAATAGAACTGAGGCTTAGAATTCAGCCTCTGGGTGTATTTTCATGGCTGCTTTGATAGCAGGATGTGAATTCCTCTGGCTGGGAGAAGCATCCAGGGTGACCTTACCACGAAGCATGACGAAGTTATAACTATCACTTCAGTTTGCTTTACTTTTTTTCCCTGCAAAAAAGTCATTTGCCTGCAGGGTAGGCATACTTCGTGTGCCAAAGAGCCACTTCACAAAGACACATGCACTTCCATGTACATTTTATGGATTACTGCTAATGGAAGACACTGCATTTCATTTTTCTTCTGCCTACCGAGAGCAGAGAACAATTTTTCATTAGAATAGATCAATATTTTAACTGAGTACACTTTGGGAATTACTTAATAAAGCTTAGCTTATGCATCCTTCCATACCTTGCTCAAATTTTACCTTTTGCTATCTTTATTTGAAGATTTCCACACCTAGAGTGTGTGCAATCGGTCTTCCACTGCTGTAAGCTTTGCTGAGCACAATTTGTATTTCTGAGTGATGAACCAGAGTCATGTAAGCCCGCTCATGTAGAAGCTTGTCTTGAGCAACCACATGTCTACAGACGAAACTGTTTCACCACTGATGAAAAGAGATTTTCAACTCTACCTGACTGCTGCTCTACATCACAACACCTGGCAGAGGGACTCAGCCCCATCTTAAAAAGTCCAATCAATCTGAAGAAACACAACCTGCTTCAGTATTTCACTTCTCCAGATCTTTCCACTTCATTGGACACAAGCACATTAATCTGCCATGGTATGGAAAAAGTTGTTTCACTGGCAGTTTATCTTTGAAACACACCAGCAGGGTAACACACACGGCAGGACAGCTCTGCAACGTGGGCTGTTCCCAGCCAGGAACGTGCCCCAGCAGCAGGGCATGCAGGGGGATGAGCCCTGCTGAATTCCCCTGCTGGCAGTGCACCTTCCAGCCAGGCCTTAGAAAAACACCTCATCAATATTCTTCAGCTCCAACAACCCTTTTTGCATAAGCAGAACAGATGGAACTGCTTGCAGACAAGGCTGAACTGTAGTTGTGTACTATAAAGTAGAAAAAACTGCATGTTATTTAGCAGCTGCTTCCTCATCTGTGGCTGTGAACAGCCAAGGGGCCTGAACTGAGGAACCTGCCCAGCCTTTCCCTGCAAGCACTGACCTCTCTGCATCTTGCTCCAAAGCCTGGGGCTGCTGTTGCTGGACAGGACTCAATTAGGAAGCACCAGGAGCCAACCCCTTTCCTCCAGCATTCCCAGTGCCCAGCCTCAGAGCAGCAGTGATGCCATCTCACAGCCTCAAGGACACCCCAGGCCAACAACAGCCCAAAGAGAGGCTGCAGATGGTCATCAGTAAAAACCCAGATGGCCCCAATGCTGCTTCTGGAGGGGCAAAGGCTGATATGAGCACAGCTCCAAGAGTT